ATATGTAGGTTAAAAAAAAAAAAGGAATAATACGTTTGTATGCAGAGTATGGCTCACAAAGTGTGGTTAATATATGTTTCCTTTTCGCTGCGCGCGGCGCCTGCGGGAATCATCGGCACCGCGGCCGCGTCGAGGGGTGCAAACAGAAAGGGAGGAGCCGATCCCAGCCGCAGGAGCGAAACGGCCGCGTTGGGGAGGAAAAGGGTCGTTTTCTCCTTTTTTTTTTCGGTGGAGGAGAGCAAAACAAAAGCAGCCCTCATTGGTTTGGGTTTTTTGCCGCCTCCGCTGCGACTTCGGCCCCGCGGCCGCTTCTGCTCCTTCGCCTTTCAGAGAAGGAGAGGATGCGAAAAGGTGATTCGTCGTTTTTCGTTTTGTTTTGTTTTCCCATTTGTTTTGAACCAAAAAAAAAAAAGAAAAGAAAAAAAAAAAAAGAAAAAAAAAAAGAAAAAAAAAAAAAAAGGAGGAGGGGGAAAAGAAAAAAAAGTTGATGGATATTAAAAAAGTTAATAATAATAAGAAGAATAAAGGCTCCAATTTATTCATAGAATCTTAGAGTGAAGAGCGAAACGAAACGAAGCGCTCGGAGCAGCGGCTGCTCCCCGCCCCGCCGGCCCAGGGCTGAGGCGCGCCGGATTCCAGAAGCGCCGCCCCGCAGCTCCGGCCTTCGGCCTTTTGGCTTCGGTTGGGTTTTGGTGCTGCTTTTCGGAGCGCAGCGAGGGGCGCGGGGCGCAGCGCCGAGCTTCCGGCAGCCCCCGGGGCTTCTTAGAGAGGGGGGAAATATTAAAAATGAATGATGGGGTCACACGTGTTGTTTCAATAAGGTGCATTTTGCGTTGATGGCGGTCGTTTCTCTCGTTTTTGTTGTTTGTTTTTTTTAAGAACAAAATAGGAGGGTTTGGCTCGTTGCTGAGCAGAAATGAGAAGGCTTGAGGCCACTCTCTGCTGCCTTATTCCCACCTCCAGCCCTGAGCAGCAGAGCTTTCCGTGGGGAATTCCTTGACCGTTCCACCCATGTGCTCCGCAGTGCCGCCGGCTCCCCGCGGTGTTGGGAATCATCTGGGTTGGATGAGGCTGAAAATCGTCCATTCCAACCCCAACCCGTCACCACCGCGCCCGTGTGCTGAGTCACTGAGCTTGGAGGAGACCTGCGGGGCCATCGAGCGCAGCCAAGCCGTCTCTGCGCCCGCTCGTGAGATCACAGCACCTCTGAGGACGATCTGAGTCTCCTCCAAACCCGAACGATTCTGGAGACCCTCGGAGTCCCGGTGGCCGTGGCACGGGGTCAGACTGGATGAGCTTGGAGGTCTTTTCCAACAAATCCAACCATCCACCTACTGCCAGTATCGCCGACTGCGCCGTGGCAGGGTCCGACGGAAGGCTGCGTCCTATGGGTGCCCTCGGAGCCACCGGGGCATGAAATCGTTCGGGTTTGAAGGGACCCTTGGAGGTCACCTCGTCCAACTCAGAGTTGGATGTGGGCCGCGTGTCGGCACCCAGCCCGTGCTCGGCGTGAGTCGGGGCCAGTTCGCTCCCTTGGCTGTTCGGTGTTGGATTTATGGCGCGTGGGTTTGGGATTTGTGGCACTGGGGTTGCGTTGTGGGGAAGGGCCTCTGAACATCTCGGTGTGCGTCTTTGGGGCCGTGCGTCTTTGGGGCCGTGTTCCGCCGCTCTGCACTCTGTGCATCGCCGCAGCCGTGCCTGCTGTCATCCCACGGTTTGGGGGGAGCACACCGGTGCCATCCCATGCTTCGGGGGGCTCCCACCAACCTCTGGCTCCGCTCCGTTGCGTCGTGGCGCTGCGGGCGCTGTCCCCCATTTCAGTTGGTTCCCCCTTCCCCCCCCCCCGGGGGTCCCAAAGCTTTCCCCAACCGCCGCCATCGTTGTGGGGGGACGGGGGGCCGCTCCCAGCACTCAGCAAAGCCATGCAGTAGGGTTAGGGCAGGAAGCCAAGGCACTTCTCCTTCGGTTTCTGCCGATAGCACTGTGAATTGGACACCCCTCGCTGCGCCCGCCCTGCCAGCACCCCCCTTCCCCCCCGGGGCAGCGAGCGGCCTGTTTCCTCTTTTCCTTTTCATTTTACCTCATTTTGGGTTGTTTTTTGTTTTGTTTTGTTGTTGTGTTTGTTTAGGGGTTTTTTGGGGGGGGGGCGGGGTTTGATACTTGAAGAAAAGCCAGTGCTTGACATTGGGCAGCAGTGCGCCGGGCCGGAGGGCGGATGCACTTTATGGGTGTTTGGGTACGAAGGGGGGGGGTCGCATCCTTCAGGAGCCACATTGCACAGTGAAGGCCACCCCCAGGAGAGCGAAATGATGGGCAATGCGGAGTCGTCCCGCTGGACTGGGGGGAAGAAAGGAAGTCGGCGCAGCGCTGGCAGCAGCTCTCCGGGCGGCTGGCGGCAGATTGCAGCGCTCCGCTTTGGGCCGCCGTCCCGCGCTGCGCCACCTCCCTTCCGCACCCCCTGTGCCACCTCCCTTCCACGCCACCTCTCTGCATCCCCCCGCCTTCTTTCCACGCCGCCCTTCCGCGTCACAGCAGCTCTGTGCCGCCGTGCCGAGGGGCAGCAGAGCGCGGTGGACGGGGGAGGTGGCAGCCCTTTGGCCTGGGGACGGCCAGCACTCCTTTTTCCTCTTTCCTTACGAATTCTGCTCGAGGATCATTAAAAGGGGGAGAAATGAGCCCCCGAACCCAACCACGGAAGTCAGAGCGCAGCCCGTGGCGCCGTGCATCCGCTCTCCGCTGCCCCGCACGCCCCGCTGCCCCCCGGCGCTGCCCCCTGCTTACAGCCCGTTCCTCGGTACCTTGGGTTGTGTTTGCCGTATTTTATTTTATTTTATTTTTAATTACCGTTCTTTTAACGTCATAGGAAGTCTGTAGTCGGGATTGTTACTATTGGAAACCGATCGCGCGTTCCATCCAGGTATTCCCATCTCTCTGGCATTACGCAAAAAAAGAAAGGCCCGAGAGAGGTATAACTGAAGCTAGAAGTAGAGGTAGGCTCGTTGTCTGAGTTTTGAGGCATATAGTATAAGGGGAGAAGGAAAAAAAAATTAATAATAATAATTAAAAAAAAATTAAAATAATGATGTTGCACAACTTGTAGAAAACAAAGAAGGGAAAGGGTTAATGTATTAAATGTGCTAAAATTACATTAAGAACTTAATTTTATTAAAGTATTATTACTTAAGAAAGTCGGCGTCTGCTCTCGTCTGTCTGTCTGTCTCTTCTGGGGGGTGCTGGCTGCTTCCTGCCCCAGTGCCGCAGCCACGCTGCTCTGCTCTTCCTCCCTCCTCCTCCTCCTCGTGCCCCGCTCCCACGTGGGCACAGAGCCGACGCGATGCCTCGCTCAGGCAGGGACCACAGCGACCAGAAAGGGCCTCCAGAAAAACTGACCAGCAGGAGGAACCTCCAGGACCATAACGGCCATAGGAGCCTCCAGGAGCGCAACAACCAGGGCCGGAAAAACAGCACGAGGCTCCGGAAGCACAGCGAGCAGGAGATGAACGACCTGCAGGAGTCACCAGGGCCGTGAGGACCTGCAGGAGCCTCCAGGACCAAACTGACCAGGACCGAAATGACCAGCAGAAACCCTCACACTGACTTCACACTGGGCTTCGTCCCGCATTCCCACTTCACCCACTTCATCCCCAGGTGAACCCAGCAGGGACAGAGGGACCCCCCAATCCCCCTGACAGCCCGTGATGGGGACGCCCTCCTGGGGACCCCCCTGCTCCCCCACAGCTGCCCTGGGGGGGAGGATACCCAGCAGATACTGAGGCTCTTCCCTTTGTAGGGACTGCTGGAACTGCTGTGACTGTGGCGGAGGCCGCGAGGACATGGGGGGTGACATGGGGACACGTTGGGGTGACATGGGGGGTGACATGGGGACACGTTGGGGTGACATGGGGGGTGATGCAGCCCAAACCCCAGCAGGAGGACACAGATCCTACGTAAACATGAGGGATAACGTGGAGATGTTTCTCCCTCCCCTTTCGTGTGGGTCCTACATCAATTCAGGGGCAACACACAGATGTTTCCCCCCTCCCTTAGTGTAAGTCCTACACCAGTGCAGGGATGAGGAAGAGATGCTCTTCTGTTCTCTTTTGTGCAGCTCCTACGTAAATATGGATACAACACAGGGATGCTTCTCCCTTCCCTCGCTGCAGGTCCTTCATAAACGCGGGGAGGAAGGCAGCGCACAGCAGCGTCCCGCAGCGTCGCTGAGGAAGGCGCTGAGCAGAGGCTCAGATGCTCTGACAGCACTGCGCCTGGCGGCCGTCCTGCGTGGGCAGCACCTGGATGGGCTCCACGGAGCTGCTGGGGCCGAACTGCGCCTCGGGCTGCGCCGCGATCTGCCGCTGCGCCGCGCTGCGATAGATCTCTGCGGGCAGAGGGGGAACAGCAGCACTTCTTAAATGTCCGATTCCCAGCGAGGGGTCTGCCTGACCCACAGTGTGCAGCTGGGGGCTGGGGCTGCGGTGGGGTTAGGTTGGGTTGGGGTTGTGTTGGATTGGGTTGAGGATGGGCTGGGGTTGGGCTGGGGATGGGGTTGGGTTGGGTTGGGCTGGGGTTGGGTTGGATTGGGTTGAGGTTGGGCTGGGGATGGGGTTGGGGTTGGGTAACGTTGAGGTTGGGGTTGGGGTTGGTTTGGGGTTGAGGTTGGGGTTGGGGTTGGTTTGGGGTTGAGGTTGGGCTGGGGATGGGGTTGGGGTTGGGTAACGTTGAGGTTGGGGTTGGGGTTGGTTTGGGGTTGAGGTTGGGCTGGGGTTGGTTTGGGGTTGAGGTTGGGCTGGGGATGGGGTTGGGGTTGGGTAACGTTGAGGTTGGGGTTGGGGTTGGTTTGGGGTTGAGGTTGGGCTGGGGTTGGCATTGGGTTGGGGTTGGGTTTGGGTTGGGGTTGGGTTTGGGTTGGGTTGGGTTGGGATTGGTTTGGGTTGGGGCTGGGTTAGGGTAAGAGAGGGGTAGGGGTTGGGGTTAAGTTTGGGTTTGGGGTTGGAATTAGGTTATGGTTGGGGTTGGGACTAGGTTAGGGTTGGGTTTAAGGTCAGTTAGAGTGGGGGTTGGGTTGGGTGAGGGTTGGGTTTAAGATTGGTTTGGGGTTAGATTTAGGTGAGAGTAGGGGTTGGGTTAGGGTTAGAATTAGTTTAGGGGAGGGGTTAGGGTTGAGTTTGGGGTTAGAATTAGGTTTGGTTCGGGGGTTGGGTTTGGAGTTAGAGTTAGGTTAGGGTGGGGGTTGGGATTATGTTAAGGTAAGGGGTTGGGGTGAGGGTTGGGTTGGGGTTAGAGGTAGTTTACGGCAGGGTTTGGGGTTAAGGTTGGGGTTGGGGGTCGAGTTAGGTTAGGGTTAGGAATTGGGGTTTGGGTTGGATTAGATTTGAGGCTGGGTTTGGGGTTAGAGTTAGGTTAGGATTGGGATTGGGGCTAGGGTTAGGTTATGGTAGGGCTGGGCTTGGGGTTACAGTTAGGGAAGGGGTTGGAGTTGGGGTTAGAGTTGGGCTGGGGAGGGCTTGGTGTTAAGGGTGGGTTTGGGGTGAGAGTTAGGGCAGGGGTTGCAGTTCCCACCGTGTTACTGTTGGGATTGAGAGTAGGGCCAGGTTTAAGATTAGGGTTCAGGTTAGGGTTGGGATTCAGGATGAGGTTAAGGTTGGGATTAGGATTAGGGTTATTGTTGCGTTTGAGGTTGGAGTTAGGGTTAGGATTAAAGCTCGAGTTGGGGTTAGGGTTGGGGCTGGGGTTAGGATTAGGATTTGGGGTTAGGATCAGGTTTGGGGCTAAGGCTGGGGTTAGGATTAGGGTTGGGATTAAGGTTGGGCTTGGGTTGGAGTTTGGTTAGGGTTGCTGTTAGGATGAAGGTCGAGTTGGGTTCGGTGGGCTGGGAGCGCCCACATCTCCCCATGGCAGCGTGCTGGACCCAAGCCCACAGCTCACAGCAGGGATTCCGGGGGGACACAACCCCAAAGCACCTCATCCCCCCATCCTTACCGGAGAGGATGTTGTGGAACGCCATCTCCACGTTGGTGGAATCCAGAGCCGACGTCTCAAGGAAGGAGAGCCCATTCTTCTCTGCAGCAATGGGGAGAGCTCATGGGGTGCAACCACAGAACGGCTGAGGTTGGAGGGCCCCTTAAAGCCCAGCAGAGCTCATGGGGTGCAACCACAGAACGGCTGAGGTTGGAGGGCCCCTTAAAGCCCACCCAGCTCCAACGTGAGCTGATTGTTCCCGAAGATCCGGCCGCCCATCACCCCATCCAACCCAACGATGGCACCGCCACACGTGCTGGGATCGACGGGAGATGAATTTACCTGCAAAGCTCCGGGCCTCGTCGGTGGGCACGGCGCGCAGGTGCCGCAGGTCGCTCTTGTTGCCCACCAACATGATGACGATGTTGGCGTCGGCGTGGTCCTGCAGCTCCGTCAGCCAGCGCTCGGCGTTCTCGTACGTCAGGTACTTGGCGATGTCGTACACCAGCAGCGCTCCCACCGCCCCGCGGTAATACCTGGGGGCAGCGATGGGCGCGGGGGTCAGAGCCCCGGTTATGGGGTGCGGGCGCAGGGAGGGGGGGACGCTCACGCGGAGGTGATGGCGCGGTACCGCTCCTGCCCGGCCGTGTCCCAGATCTGTGCCTTCACCGTCTTGTTGTCCACCTGGATGCTCCGGGTAGCAAACTCCACCCCGATGGTGCTCTTGCTCTCCAGGTTGAACTCGTTGCGGGTGAAGCGGGACAGCAGGTTGCTCTTCCCCACGCCCGAGTCCCCGATGAGCACCACTGGGGTGTAAGGAGCGCAGCGTCAGCCCCCCCCGAGCATCGCCATCCACAGCCCAGCTCGAATGGGGAACCACCAGAGTTCAACACCAGTGGGGACCCATCAACAAGCGGGGGGGGGTTATTGGGATCTGCCCAACACGGGGCTCCAGGTGGAACCCCGTAAACACAGCGGGGGGCTCCAGGTGGAACCCCATAAACACAGCGGGGGGCTCCAGGTGGAACCCCATAAACACAGCGGGGGGCTCCAGCCCATCTCCAGCCCCGCGGGCACCCAACTGAGGAGCCAAATTGCGGTCCGGCTGCAGCACCCTGAGCCCTAAGTCCCGGGCTGTGGGCTGGATGAGCGCATTCTGGTAGAATGCGGTGAAACAGGTTCTGGGACATCGCTCCTGTTTCTCCCCTCTCAAGTTTGTCGAGTTGGTGACTCACCGGGTTTTGATTTTATTTACTTTTCATTCCCCAGCTGCCTGTGTCATTCGTCCTCCGACACCCAGATGGAATCGAGCCGGGGGGGAGTGGGGGGAGGGGGTTCACCGGGACTGACCCACAGCTCCCGCTTGCTACAGTGGGCCGAGCAGCCCCCCGGCACGGGGACAGCGGGGAAACGGAACTCAGTGAGCAGCAGAAGGCACTGAAAGCTGTGGGGTGTTCGGGGAGACCCCCAGAACGGCCCTGGATAGGATTCCCCTCGGTGGGGGTGCGTGGTGGTGGGGCAGCCCGGCCCGGCAGGAGGGGCTGAGTCACGGTGGGGAGGGGTCAACCCCGGCTGGTGCTGCTTGGAGGGGGGGGGAGTGGGGTTGTTGGCTGCCCCCTGCCCCGATCCTGTTGCGAGCAACTCCGGTGCTGCCCCATGTGGAGTCCCATCCCCATCCCCATCTCCATCCTCAACCCCATTCCTGTGCCCGATCCCAATCTCATCCCCACTCCCATCCCCAACTCAACCCCATCCCCATCACCACCCCCAACCCCAATCCCACCCCCATCTCCACCCGCATCCCCAACCCCAACCCAGTTCAACCCCATCCCCATCTCCACCCCCATCCCCAACCCAACTCAACCCCATTCCCAACCCCATTCCCGTGCCCAACTCCCACCCCATCCCGACCCATCCCAGTGCCCAAACTCCAACCTCAACCCCTTTCCCAACCCCGTCCCCGTGCCCCACACACCCTTGAAGAGGAAGTCGTACTCCTCATCCTTGCCCCGCATCCTGCGCAGTGCCGCGGCCGCACTGGGAACAGCGGGGATTTCCGCCCCGCTCCGCCCCGGGGGGCAGCCCCGCGCTCCCATTGGTCCCGCAACTCTCCTTCCTTCGCAGCCATTGGCTGTCGGTGCTGCCCGTCACCGCCCAGGTGCTCCGCTGGGGGCAGGTGTGAGGGGGGAGCTGCGAGGTGGGAATGGGATGAGATGGAGAGGGGAGGAATGGGATGGGAACAGGGATTGGATTGGGGATGGGATGCGATTGGATGGAGTGGAACGGCGTGGAAGGGAGCGGGATGGGAACAGGGATTAAAATGGGGAGGGGGGGACAGGAACAGGAATTAGAATAGGGATGGGATGGGAATAAAGATGGGGAAGGGGATGGGATCAGATGGAGCAGAAGGGAGTCGGAATGGGATGGGAACAGGGATTGGAATGGGGATAAGAATAGAGATGGGACGGGAATACAGGTGGGACCGGAGATAGGATTGGAGTGGCAACAGGGATGGAATGGGATGGAATGGGGCGGAATAGGGATACGGATGGGATGGGAATACAGACAGGCTGCATGGGGGAAGGAACGCACGTGGGGCTGGGCTGTGAGCCAGGCGGGCACCGGGGACGAGGCCACGAGCAGTCAGCGATCCCAGCCCAGCACAGCTGCCTTTCACAGTCCTTTAATGGCTGCGCCGGGCGAGCAGAGGGACCGCGGGCCGCGTTGTGCCTTCGGACGGGCCCACGGCACACCGAGATGGGGACAGAGGCGCGCAGGGTGGGCACAGCTGCTTCCCCCCTTAGGGTTCTTTCTTAGAGCCCTGTAGGGATCGGGATGCAGCGACCCCCGAGCGGCTCCCAGCGGGGTTGGAGAATGGTGGGGACGGGCGCATCCGTGGTGGGCGGCACAGAGACGGAGCGCGACGGCACCGGGGCAGCAACGCCACAACGGCAGCGGCTCCCGCAGCCGCGCAACCCGGCGGAGAAGCGGCGGCGGCACTCAGCGCATCTGCGCCGCGGGGACGGACCGACACCGAGCGGAGCTGCGGCGACGCCTCGCGCTGCTCACGGTGGAGCACGGCCGCGCTCCGGGCTGCCGCCGCGCCGGGACAACGGGCGGCACGGCGGGTCGGTCGCCACCGAGCTGTGCCGGCGGCCGCGAGCCTCGGGACGAGCTCAGATGGCCACGCAGCACGGGCGCTTTTCCGCCTGCGCTGGGGCAGCGCCGTCGGGGCTCTCGCTGCCGAGTGACACCGTGCTGCTTTGGCTGCTCCTCTGCTTCTGCTTCTGCACTTTGCTGAAGATCTCTGCGGAAACACAAAGCGGGGCCGCGTCTGCTTGGGGCGCCGGCACGGCTCGGTGCAGCGCTGGGAGCCGCTTTGCGGGGGGAAGCCGTTTTCCCCGGTTGCGTCCCCACGGCCGAGGCGGGGGACAGGGAACACCCTGCAACTTCCCCTGCTTCCCTCGGCTTCTCTCTGGCCCCGCGAGGATCAGGGCTGGAAGCTCGTGGGGATGGCACAGCACAGCACGGCACGGCACAGCGCGGCACAGCTGAACAGGGCTCAGTACAGAACATCGAAGCGTGCCATGGCACAGCACAGCAGGGCACAGCTTGGCACAGGAGGGCACAGCAGGGCACAGCACAGCATGGTATGGTACAGCATGGCACAGCACAGCAGGGCACAGCAGGGCACAGCACAGCAGGGCACAGCAGGGCATGGCAGGGCATGGCAAGGCACAGCAGGGCACGGCTCAGCATACCCTGAGGTGCCCCTGCCCTACATTCCCATTCCTGGAGAGACGCTCCCAGCTGCCATTGCCCCCCTCTGCCCCACATCCCTGCGGGTTGCTCTGCAGAGCTGCAGACACTGAGTCAGGCTGCACATCCGGACCGGACCGTGGATTACAGGGGGACAAGGAGCCCGTGGTGCTGCCCGGGGCCCCCGGCAATGGAACCAGAGCGGAACGCCCAGCACAGAGAGCCGGAAACCCAACCAGCCAGAAAGACAACACCGAAACCGGGCAGGGAGCTCAGGCGGGGCAGGGCGGAGGAGAGGCGCGGAGCATCCCCGGCACCCACCCTTCAGGACGGTCTCAAACGCCTGCTCGACGTTGGTGGAGTCCAGCGCCGACGTCTCAATGAAGAGCAGCCCGTTGTTCTCTGCAAGGACAGCGGTCCCCGAGACCCTGCGGACCCCACTGGGTTCCCTTTGGGGTCCCCACGTCGGGGTGGCACAACGCCGTACCTGCAAACATTTTCGCCTCCTCCGTGGGCACCTCCCGCGCCTGCGCCAGGTCGCTCTTGTTGCCCACCAGCATGACCACGATGCTGGCCTCGGCGTGGTCATACAGCTCCTTCAGCCAGCGCTCCACCACGTCGTACGTCTGGTGCTTGGTGATGTCAAAGACGACCAGAGCGCCCACAGCCCCACGGTAGTACCTGTGGGAGCAGCCCATCTTTGCCCTGTGCCGCAGGCAGCCGTGGAGCATCCTCGCAGGGATGTGAGTGTGGGGCAGCCATCCATGGGGCACCCACGGGGACGTGCATCCATGGGGCATTCGTTCATCCATAGGGAATCCATCCGTGGGGTACTCAATGGGGCGCCCGTCTATGAGACACCCACCCATCCATGGGGCACCCAATGGACATCCATCTATGGGGCACCCACCCATCCATGGGACACTCATCCATCCATGGGGCACCCATCCATCTATAGGTCACCCACTCATCCATGGGACACCTATCCGTGGGGCACCCATCCACCTAAAGAGCACCCACACATCTATAGGCCACCCACCCACCCATGGGGCACCCACTGATTCACAGGGCACCCTCGGGTGCCATCCCCCCTTACGCAGAGGTGATGGCGCGGTACCGCTCCAGCCCGGCCGTGTCCCAGATCTGTGCCTTCACCGCGGCGTCTCCCACCAGGACGGTGCGGGTGGAGAACTCCACGCCGATGGTGGTGCGGCTGTCGTGGTTGAACTCGTTGCGGGTGAAGCGGGACAGCAGGTTGGTTTTGCCCACGCCGGATTCCCCAATCAGAACCACTGAGGAGAGAAGAGGGATCCCACTGGATTCAGGTCAGCTCAGACAACCCTTCCAGGCCTCGACCAGACCGGCATCCCGCCGGGGTGCGCAGACACCCCTGGGAGCCTTACAGAAAAGGAAGAAAAAGGAGCAAAGCAGCCCCCTGCCCACGCTGCCCCTGCCCCCTGCGGTCCTCAAGCAGCCCAGAGATGGGCAGACAGACGGCTTCAGCCCCAGCGCAGTTGATCCTTAAGCACACGCAGTCCCCACCACCATGCTGGGAGCTCTCAGCCCCTCTCGGGGGTCTCCATCAGCCCCCACGGCGTCCCGGCTGCAGGAGCAGAGTGAGGGTCCTGCGGAGCCATGGGGACATCGCTGCGTGGCACCCAGTGCCCCGGGCTGCTGCTCCTCAGGGAGTGGGCACAGAGCACAGGATGCCCCCAGCTGGCACTGCAGCAGGATGACTTGGGAGCCCGCTGCTCCCTGCTCCCAATCTGCTGCTGTGGCAGCTGCAGATGTGTGTGTGTCCCCATCTGCGTCCCTTCCCTGCCTGCTGATGGCTCAGGGTGGCTGAGGGTTCCCTGTACTTCCAGGCCACACCCTGACCTCCCCATCACCACCATGGGACACCAGGCAGCACCTCGACCCCACCACCATGGAACACCCCAATCCCACCACTATGCAACACCAGGCAGCACCTTGACCTCCCCACCAGCCCTATGGGACACCAGGCAGCACCCCAATACCACTACTATGCAACACCAGGCAGCACCCCGACCTCCCCACCAGCACTACGGGACACCAGGCAGCACCCTGACCCCACCACCATGGGACACCCCAACTTCCCCCCACCTATGGGACATGGTTGAGGCCAGTGCCCCCCTCCATGCCAGGACCTCTGCAGGGCCACATCAGCCACAAGCACAGCCCCGGTCCCATCTTGCTTTGGGAACCCACAGACTGGGGAGGGCACTCCAGAGCCGGGGTCCCCCAGTCCTCCTGCCCCGTCCTTCTGGGAACCCCCTCACCTTTAAAGACGAAGTTGTAGTCCTCCTCGGCACTGCTCATAGCTCCCAGCTGCCGCCCGGTTTCCTCCTTCCCTCTGCCAGAGGTTTCCTCCTTCTCTCTGCAGAGCACAGAGCGGGGCGGGCTGCAGGGAACACGGGGGGCAAAGTCTCCTTACTGCCAGGGTGTGAGCGGGGTCCCAGCGGTGATGGGGGTTCCAGCAGTGAGGGGGGGTCCCAGCAGTGAGGGGGGGTCCCAGCAGTGAGGGGGAGTCCCAGCAGTGAGGGGGGGTCCCAGCAATGAGGGGAGTCCCAGCAGTGAGGGGGGTCCCAGCGGCGAGCGCAGTCAGGGAGCGAAGGCGACGCAGGCGGCGTTGGTGGAGCAGGGAGGCCCAGGCTGCCTGACTCCAGGCGTGGGAGCGGCGGCGCAGGTTGGGCAGGTAATGTCACCCCTGGGACCGTCACGGGGCACCCGGAGGAGGAGCCGAGCTCGGTCCTGGCTGCCAAGGCCACGCGGCGCAGGGCAGGCTGGGGCAGCGGGGCCTGGGCTCAGCGCAGAGCTGGCCGGGCACCAACGGCGGATGGGAGTGACGGAACGCGGGGGCAGCGCGGGGCTCCCAGCAGCGCCGCACCGCCGACCCTCAGCCCTCAGCCCAGTTTGCCGGGCGCACGACCGGCCCCGTCCCACCCTCACACCCTCCATTGACCCGAGAGACACTCAGAAGGACACGAGCACCACACGTGGTTTTATTCCCCCTTCCCTGCCGCCCAGCAGCGCGGCCGGGCTGCCATCGTGGTTCCCCCCACGCAGGCGTTGCTGCTCAGCCGTGGCACCGCGGCTCCGTGCTCAGGATGCGGCTCAGGATGCGGCCACCTGCGTCAGCGGCTCCTCCAGGTACTGCACCAGCGCCTGCGCCTGCAGGCAGGGATGGGTGCTGAGGGGTGCTGAGCACGCGGGGCCGCACCCCCAGCACCCACACACCGTGGGCAAACCCTCGTCCTGCCCCAACACCATTTGGGATCCACGCAGACCGTTCTCGTTTTGATTTAAATTTCACCACAGAGCCTCAAAAAAGTGCAGTTTTGTGGCTGAGCTGGAGTTGGGACACCTCAAAATCTGCACAGAGGAAGGAGGCATCCCCAGCACGGCCGCTTCCCCCCCACTCCCATCCTCTTCCCCCCAGCATTCACCCTGTGGCTCTTTCACACCTCGCATGAATGCCGCCCCCCCCCGTCTCCCCCCCTCAGCCCCTCACCTTGGCTTTCAGCATCCCAAATCCGACTGTTTCCTTGGCATACATGCACAGCAGGAGGTTTGCCACGCGGGTGATGGCCACGCGCCCCTCCTGCCCGGAGAGAATCGCGGCATGGTTGGGTTGAAGGGACCACAACGATCAGCCGCTTCCAACCCCATCCTGCAGGCTGCCCGCCCCCCACTCCAGCTGCTCAGAGCCCCCCAGTGGCCTCGTGCACCTCCAGGCATGGGGGACCCACAGCTCTGAGCAGTTCTGGGGCCCTCCTCCTTTCATTCAGCCCCACACCACGTTCCATCGCTCCCCTCCCGTCGGCTGAACTCTCCCTGGAGCCCCTCCATCCCAGCCAGCCCCGCTGCCACAGCTCCAGTCCATCCGCTGTGGATGCGCTGCTCCAGATGGGGCTCACAGCAGCAGAGCAGAGGGGCAGGGCCTCTCTGTGCCCCACTGCCGGCCCCTGATGCAGCCTGGGGGCTTCAGGCTCCGAGCACACACTGCTCTCACATCAGGTTTCCATGCAGCTCCACAGTGACCCCCAGCTGGCTCCGAGTGGCCCCCAGTGTGCTCCATACGGGACCATCAGCAGGTTCCGTGCAGGACCCCCAGTGGGCCCCGAGGTGCTCACCGTGTAGGAGGCCAACAGGCACCATCTGGAACCCCCAAAGGCTCCATGTGTCCCCCAGCAGGTTCCATGTGACCCCACTGGGCCCCATGTGGGACCCCCAGCAGGCTCCATGCAGGACCCCCAATGGGAACCCTGTGGGCTCCAAGGCGTTCCCCAGCAGGCTCCATGCTGACCCCGCATCCCCCAGCTGCCTTCATGCGGGACCCCCAGCAGGCTCTGTGTGCCCCCCAATGGGCGACATGTGGGACCCTCAGCACATTCCACGCAGGACCCCTAGCGGGACCCCACAGCACCAGGACGGCACTGAGCCCACTGGGGGTCACACGGAGCCTTCTGGGGGTCTCACAAGGTGCCTGCTGGGCATCCCACATGGAACCTGCTGGTGAACACCTCGAAGCCCTCTGGGGATCCCACAGAGCCTGCTGGGGGTCCTGCATGGAGCCCACCAGAGAACACACGGTGCCCACTGGGGGTCCTGCATGGAACCTGCTGGGTGTCCCACGTGGAGCCCACTGGGGGGCACACAGAGCCTTCAGGGAGTCCTGCATGGAGCCTGCAGGGGGGGGATACGGACCCCAATGGGGGAGACACACAGATCCCAGTGGGGGTCCCATGGATCCCACCGGGGTCTCACATGAATCTGCCGGGGGACACACACAGGGGTCCCACACGTATCCCAATGAGGGTCCCACAGAGCCTGCAGGGAGTTCTGCATGGAGCCTGTCGGGGTCCCACACAGATATCAATGAGGGTCCCACATGGATCCTGCAGGGGACCCCACACAGATCCCAACGGGGACCCCGCCCGGGGCCCGCCGTACCATGCAGTCCATGAGGATGAAGCGGAGGTTGTCCTCGTTGAAGGCGTGGTGTCCGTTCTTGTCGTACGCCACCCAGATGTTGCTGGCGATGGCCGCCGTCACGCGGGCGTCCGTGTCCCCATAACCCGAGTAGGCCAAGAGCGAGCCCTCGTTATTCAGCAGCCTGGAACAGACGGGCACCGCCGAGCTCCCGAACGAGCCCCCAACGAGCCCCCGAACGACGAGCTCGCTAACGGCCGCACGGTCACGCCTCGAGGTCCCCCCCCCGCCGCCCCCCGGCCCCGCTCACAGCGTGCTCTGGACGCCGCCGGTGTTGGCCTGGCTCAGCACCTGCGTCAGCGCTTTGGGCCGCAGCATGGCAGCCCGCGGGGCGCGGCGGGGCGCGGGGCGGTGCTCGGTGCAGGCCGCGGCCCTCGGCGGCTCGGCGTAGCGCGGAGCGAGGTTCCGTTCCGCGCTCCGTTCGGCGCTCCGTCACCTCTCGGTCCGCCGCGCCGCAAGGGGGCGCTCGGCGGCGACGCGGGCCGTGGCGGCGCTCCGTCCCCGCCTTTTTCTCTATCGGCCCGGGCTGGCGGGGCGGGCGGCGAAGATGGCGGAGCCGAGCGGCGGCGGCGGCGGGCCGGGCCCCGGCGGGCCGGAGCTGGGAGGTCCCGGCGGGGCCCTCATCCGCGTCACGGTGAAGACCCCCAAGGACAAGGAGGAGATCGTTATCGCGGACGGCGCCTCCGTGCGCGAGGTGGGGGCGGGACGGAGGATCGGGCCTAGGCCTTGGCGCTGAGAGGGGCCGGAGGGGAGCAGGGCCGGGGCCGGGGGTGGGCAATGGGAGGGGGCGGGGGGGCGGGCCGGGGGGGAGGAGGCTGAGAGTTGGAGGGGAGGAACTTCGGGGGGTGTGAGGAGCCGGGAAGCGGGGGGGGGGGGCGGTGGAAGGTGAGGGGGCGGGGAGCGGCGCGGGGCCGGGGCGGAGGGGGGGGCGGCGGCGGCCCAGGCCGGGGGCTGCAGTGCTAGCGGGGGCTGCAGCTGCGTGACGGCAGGCGTTAGGTTGAGGGGGGAGCGGCCCGAGCCCGAGGCTGGGGACCTAGGGTGGCTGGGCTGGGCTGCAGCTGCGTGACGGCGGGCCTTGGGCTGAGGCGGGGGCTGGGGGGCTGCCCGGGGCTGGGCTGGGCTGGGCTGCGTGACGGCGGGTGTTGGGTTGTGGGGGGAGGGTTTCAGCTGAGGGAGCTGAAACCTGTGGAAAGGTGAGAACGGGATGTTGTTGGGGCGGTCAGGAGGGGGTGTGGGGCAATGCTGGTGGAACGGGATGTGGGGGCCGGGAGGGGTCCGAAGGCTGGGGGAGGATGGGGGGCACGGCCCTGGGGCTGCGCTATTGTGAGTGGGTGTGATGTGGGGCAACAGATGGGCGTTGTGCGGTGGGGCTGGGTCTGGGGGGAGCTCCTTTTGGACAGGAGATGCCTCAGGTCTGGGGAGATGATGGGGGAGGGACGTGGCCCTGGAGCCGTGCTGCTGGGAGCTGTGGAGTGCTGCAGGGTGGGGGTGCTGTGGGGCAATGGACCGGCAGTGTGTGGTGGCTGAGGCCAGAGGCTCCTCCTTCCCTCCTTCCTTCCTTCCCTCCTTCCTTCCTTCCTTCCCTCCTTCTCGCTCCTCTTGAGCCTTCGGGGCAAAGGCAGGGTGAAGCAGAGAGAAGGGAGCATCAGCCATGTGAGGGTTTGCTCCGCAGGGCGCTGTGCACCTGGAGGGCAGGAGGGGGCTGATGAGAAGCGCTGTGCAGGCGGCTGTGCCCACTGGTGCGAGGTGTCAGCGGTGTGGATCTTGGCTTTGTGTGCTGCGCTGTGTGCTTTGACGTGGGCTTTAGGACACAGGTCGTGGTGTGCCGGCGCTGCTGGGAGCTGGGCGGGAGCTGCGTGTTGTTTGTGGCCCTTCTGCTCCTTCCCAGCCCTCTGCTGTGAGTGCGCAGAGCAGGGGGTGAAGCTTTGTGGCCCAGATCACCTCAGCTCCAGCAGTTTGTCCTCCCAGGTCCAGTTTTTGGGGAGTTCTGGCGCCAGGGCTGCGAGCTGCCCCAGGAAAGGCGTTTGCTCTTCTGGTCCTGGCCTTCCCATGAGAATTTCTTGAAATCTGTGGTGTCCAAATGCAAAGGTTTTTTTTTTTTCCTCACCTGCTGACTCAGGAATGCCCAGCTGAGCTGGCAGTGACAGCCTTACTGGCAGGTGCTGATCCCCCCCGTCACACAGCACAGAGATGTCGGTGTTGGGTGGTGCGGATGCTCGCAGGAGAACAGGAATTGGAGAAGAGCAGTTTAATCCATTGGCTGATGAGGGACCGGGCCCTTTTCTGTCCTGTACGGAATCAGAGTTGGGCTTTCCTTGGGAAAAAATGAGATGAGCAGAAACGAACAAAGCTCAGTTGTCCCGAGGACAAGTGGTGGGTTTGGGTCGGGCCTCAGGGCACGCGTGCTGTGGAAGCCTTCAGCTCATCCCCAGGTAACGGTTCGGGAGGCTTCTGCCCACGTTTTGAAGCAGTGCGGGGCTCATCTTTGCTTTCTGCCCTGGGCAGCTGGAGCTGCACTGCTACCCGCGCAGCTCCCTTCTGTCGGGGTGCTGAAGCCCTTTTGGTGCCCGCTGCCGTTTGTGCAGTGAACGTTGGGTGTCCGGAGCTTCAGGTTCCTGCCTTCTTCTTCTGCCTGAAAAGTCCACCTTTGTTTTTCAGT